TTGCTGGATGAGTAAAATCAGACAGATTATTTTGCACAAGCTCCACCAAGTCTGAAATGCACAACCAACTAGCATCTTTCGGCGCAGGCATGCATAGAGCGGGCAGTTTGTCATTGAACACGGGTTGGAAATCGATATCTGACCCATCTGCTAGACGTGCTGATCGTAACTCATTAACCTCTATTGCATCATGCGTTTCTTCCAAACCAGACATGTTAGCTCCAGTATCAATGACGAATTTCAATCCTCTGTACACACAAACCAGCCAAGGATACTCTACGTGTGCCACCTTCGTGATGGCATCTATTGCCTCGGCGAGGGTGAATCTGTAGTTTGGGTATTCACTTGGGATGATTGAGACTCCACTAGGAGCCTCCTCGACCTTTCCTCCCTCATACGGCGATGAGCAGATCGTTGTTCCGGCGTTAATTTTGCATACTCGTCTGCCGGAATCCAATCTGCCGGTAACCCCCGCGGACCTGGGCGTTGTCGGTCCCCCGGTCCGTTCTCCCTGAAACCCCTTCTGTATGGGTCTCCTCCCTGACTCTCCATCTCCCTCCCTCGCCTCTGTGAGCGAGCCGATTCTGCTCCCCCCTGGCCGTCTGATCTCGTCTCCAGGGGGGGTTTCGCGTTTTTTGACTGATCTCTCATCTGTCTTTTGAGTTCCCAATTATCCATTTTTCTAATCTGCTCACTTTTTGTCAAACTTTTCCATTTAACAGCGAGAGACTCCGCGTCAGGAAGTGATGCTAACATTCGTTCCTGTTGTATGACCGTTGCTCCTTCCTCTTGCACAGACAACATAGCCGTCCTCAGAGGTATCAATTTTCTCTTCACTTCCTCCACCAAACGATCTATAGATTCGTCCACTAAGTCACGTCCTGGTACCCGGGATACGGTTAACTCAGCCATTATCTCTGCCCTTGGCAATCTCACACCCTGCTTCAGCCGCAGGAGATCAATCATGCTCGGATCTGCTAAATCCTCATTTGTCAAGCCAGCCTGCCTCAAACGTGTAAGGTAACGGGTCTGTGGCTCTCCCATCTTCCTATCAGGCATAAGGCTGGCCAGGGCCGAGAGACATCCGGCTCTTCCTACCAGAGTTTGATCTGCAACGGTGGGTCTAACTTGCACCCCTCCTTCACATTCCTGAGAAGTGGAAGGGTGGGGGTTACTGCCCGCTCTGTGTTCTGCTTCCACGTCACAGTCCCTTTGAATGCAGCCACTTCGATAAAAATCATAGCCACTGCTAAGGAACTGATTCTTAAAAGGCTCAGTCCAGTTTGGTTGTTGTTTAACATCCACACTGGTTTTGGCATGTCTAATCACATTTGCCTCCCCCCTTGCAGAGTACCAACCAGGCAGATTATTTAACACCTCTGGCTCACCATCCCCCTCAGTGAGAGGTCTGAAGCCACGGTACCACGGCCCAGAGAAAGGGGGGTCATTTTGATTGTATCTTGCAGCATGTGTTTTTGGCACAGTTTTCCTCTTATTCTTCAATGCTCTGCCTTCAACACCCCCCTCAGGCCCAATCCACGTCTTCCTCCTCTCTTCCTCATCACTACTTGAGTGACATAATGGGTGAGAGCTGTTCCCAGAATAGATGGGTGAGGGGCGATGGTATTGAAGCCCACTCATACCAGTAGGTGTCATTCCTGTGGAATGCGCTATCGGGGCCCAAACAGGCGCGGATGGGGTTAATGGCCTTGGTGCTGAAGGTTCTGCCCTGGCATGGTCATGTGGACTTCTATTAGGAGGCCCAAACCTCGCACCCACAGGTGTGTGAGAAGCAGCCCATGTCACTTCCTTCCGTGGGAGGTTGTCCAGATCTGCTTGTTTCCTATCAGCAAGAGCCCTTGCTGCAGTTTCCATTTTGTGTAGCCAGATAGCAGGCTCATACACTCTGCCAGCCCACTGACTGGTTATAGCTGCATACACCATATCATTTCTGTTATGAGTTTGCAACATCACATCTTTTGTACTTCTCAGGTAAAAAATCACCCTAGAAGGTCGTAAGTCTGCAGCCTGCACAGCTCGTTCCGTTTGTATCCGCCAGCGCTTCAACTCACTTCTGGGAGTTGAGCCCACAGCGTTAGAAATGACCACAATAGCTCTCATGGCTGACTCTCCTGGGTCTAACCACACCGGAGTCCCACCTGCAGGCTCATAGAGTCCCCAGCTCTTAACAGCTTTTCTCCCTGCCAGGCGCCTTATGGGTGCCAGCGCAGGGACCCGACAGAGATTTGTACCTGGTTTTACAAGAACAGACAAGACCCATTCAGGTGCCGGGAGGGTTCTAGTCCCCAAGTCTCCCTCCAGCATGATCAACCCGGAGGAGAGACCAGAAGAATATGTCCCTTGCTTTAACTGCGCTTCTAGCGCTGATATATCCGTCACCCAAGCGCTGGCTGGGTCATCTGATCCATTCTCAGAACTGTTTCCCGACTCATTACCACTTTCTTCAGATGAAGAGATGCCATCTCTATAATCTTTATTCACAGGTTCAAATCTGGCTGGTGTTACCACTTCACCATAGACAGGTGGGGGTTGTGGGTCGGGATACAGCTGTAACGGAGCGTGTGAAGCAGCTCTGTATGGACGCCACTCCTTTAAGTTCAGCTCTTGGCATGCTGCTCTAAACAAACTCTCCGTGGTCAGAACCACGGTCCAAATATTGTCAGTGTCCACATTTATTACAGCTTTTAATGCTTCCAGTGAGGCTCTAATGGTATGTTCAAATTCTCCTGTCCCCAGCAAACAGGTAGCCACATGCCCCGTGTTACTTGCTCCTCTCACACAGTCATACCATCTAGTTAATTGCTCAACTTGCACATCATGAGGAGTTCCCGGTGCACATGGATCAATTACTATATGTAATATTTCACGTACCCCATCCCCAGCTTCGATCGCAGACCGTCTGTACGTCATTACATTGCCTATAGTAAATGGAGGATTCTGAGCCATGATAGCATCATGACTTTGTGGATACCTGCGCTTTATCGCCAGCGCAACACCAGTTTCTGATGTACCGTTCACATTAATTGCATTCACCAATGATGCTGGAGGCTCGAAACACACCTTGGAATAGTCAGAAAATATTGCTCGCACTCTAGCTGGGTCATCACGAGCCCACAAGCTCTCAGTATCAGCCATTCTCTCCCCGCGTTCTTCCTCCCCTGAGCCATATTCGCTCACTGCAGCCATCCCTAAATTTCCCTCAGTTACACGAGTACCTTTACTCATAAAGATCACTTCGCATCAAAATCGTTGTCCTTTAAAGGCAGGGTGTGCGTGCACACACACCAGCAGCAACTTAGCTGTTCTGCCCCGGATTACGTCCACGAGGTCAGGAATTGCAACCTGCGATTTAATTCTACTTTGTGAGAATCTTTTACGAGGCCCCTCACTTTCCTGCGTGTGAGAATTCTGCTAAGAGGTTCTCACAAAAACCCCTTTGCGCCGTGTGCACCTGGTGGAGAGAAACGCACTTCTACGGAACCGATCCAACCGGACCAGTGCGTTCCAACACACTTCCAGCTACTGGACTTCAGAATCTAAACTCATAGGCTCCCTAAGCGGCCCCCTTCGGCCAATATAGCCGGCTCCTTAGGGACAAATTGTCCACCCTTGCAGACACTTTTCCCAGTTCCGGACTTTCTAAGCTCACAACAGGTTGTTTTCTACTCAACTGCGAAATCACAGCCCCACGTTAAAGGGCGCCATGTTACAAGTCATCCTCCCAAACTAGCTGACTCTTTAATAAACACTACGTCTCAGGGTTGACTTGTAATTCTATTTGTGCGTGAGCGTGACTCCAGTTTGACCTTACACCTCTGTGAGCTAATCAGCGATCATCTTTACCTAGATTTAGACTCTGGCAAACATACTTTAGCAGCACAAAGGAAGACTCTTGTTATAACTTCACCACAACTCAGTCACCTGCAGCTTATGCTATGCCCAGGTTAAAGACTTTAAGTTTAAATGTAAACCTCTTGGAGCGGGATCAAAAAGTAACCAGCGCCTCACCTTTCCGGCGTTACACGACACGATTGGAGACCCCAGGCTGGAGATTCCGTTTAAAGCCCCTTATATGAAGGAGCAAATATTTTATTTTATATGATGAAGTAAAAATATTCCAGATTTCCCGACGCAGCGGGTCAGATCACTCAACCGTTACAGTTGTCCTCCGAACTCTTCTCCAACACCCAAAAAGCCCCAGACCGACCTCCTTCTCCCCGGAGCCCTCACCCTTTTATTCTCCTCAACTCTCTCCTCCTAGCCCCCCTTCCGTCTCCATGGCAACCCCTGCCTCGGAAACATTCTCCGGCCTTGGGTCCTCTCCCAGCCCCCTCCGGTATCAGTCAGATGGGCGGGGGTCTTCCCTCCTCCTTCTTCCTTCTTCAGCTCAGATCAAAGGAAGTCAAACATAAACATCTCTATACGTGTCCCTGAAGTTCTTATCACATCCTAGGCTACACCATAAAAAGTCGATACAAGGTTAAACTACAACATAAATTTGTCATGGATAGCAGATTAGTTGAAACACACACATCATTTATGGCAGCATGAGATCAGGAGTCAAATCACCACACACAGACCTCTAGCTGAACCCTGAAGCCTGGTTTCACTAACATACAGATTTGAGATGTAATCCAGAACTGCTATTATATAATAAGACAGGTCTGGAGGAATCGAAAATCTTTATTCAACAGTATGTCTGTGCCGTAGTCCTGTTTTCATTAAACATAATTCATGACATATTTATTTCACAGATCATTCACTTGATTATTGTTGATCAACATCTGTTTTGCTTAATAATTTTAATCACAAATAAAGTACTTTGATTAAGTAAAGTTTCTTCTTCTCCTTCGGACTCTTCTCTTGGAATGTAAACAGTCTGAGGAACACCCGACCTTGGTTTTTCTACACGGTGTTATTGTGCACCGGGGGCAGCTGTATGGAGTTGAAAACCATGAACTTCATAACCTTACAGTAAGGATTGCAGAAAGCGCTTAAACTGCAAAACCTGTGGGTTAAAACATCCTCAAATGCTACACATACCCCAAAAAAGGACAACAAACAAGTTTCCAGAAGGAACAATGGAACAAGCTGGGGAACGTGCTGTAGTCTCTATTCAGACAAGTGCTCTTACTGGGGCCGGTATCAAACCGTCAATCGTACCTGTGAGGGTTAAATATATAAAAGGAAATGTGACAGTGAATACCTATGCATTTCTTGACCCAGGAAGTACTGCATCATTTTGCACAGAGAAGCTTATGGATAAGCTAAATCTTCAAGGAAGAAAATCCAACATTTTGTTAAGAACCATGGGACAAAAGAAGGTTGTAGAAACACATTGTTTCAAATTTGGAAGTTGCTGGACTGGAAGACAATGAATTTTATGATCTTCCCACTCTGTACCCCCAGAAGGCTATGGCTGTGAATAAAGAAAATATTCCAAATGAAAGTGACATAAAACAGTGGTCATATTTGCAGTCAATACCTCTACCTGAAATCGACTCAGAAACTGATTTGCTGCTTGGCTTGAATGTGCCTAAGGTTCTAGAACCACTAGACGTGGTCAATTGTTGGAGATGGACCATATGCTGTTAAGACTGCACTTAGCTGGACAGTTAATGGACCCTTGGGTGAAACCCAAACCGAAGAGGAACCCCAGCTAAGCGTCAATAGGATATCCGTGGAGAACCTTGATGACCTCTGGCACCTGCAATTCAAAACAGATTTTCCAGAGTGTGCCAGAGATGAAAAGGAACCTTCCAAGGAAGATCAGAAATTTCTGGACAAAGTTTCTAATAGTGTAAAGTTGCAAAATGGACATTATTACATCAGACTCCCATTTAAAGACTCAAGATTCTGCCTGCCCGATAATAGAGTTGTGGCAGAACAACGTCTTCAAAACCTGAAAAGAAAGTTTATAAGGAACTCATCTTTCCTTCAAGACTACAATAACTTCATGTCTGACATAATCTCCAAAGGTTACGCAGAAAAGGTAACAGAAGACAATCTGGAATGCAGCAGTGGCAAAAAATGGTACCTGCCTCACCATGGTGTACTCCATTCACAAAAGAAAGAGCTCAGAGTGGTGTTCAACTGTGGGGCCAAGTACAATGGAGTCTCGCTGAATAGCCAGCTCTTACAGAGGCCCGACTTAACCAGCACATTGATCGGAGTTCTGACAAGATTTCGTTAAGAACCTCTCGTTATTGCTGCAGACATTAAATCAATGTTCTATCAGGTAAAGGTACCAGAAGAGGACAGAGACTTGTTAAGATTCCTGTGGTGGCCCGGAGGAGATTATACTCAAAACATGGTCGAGTACAGAATGACAGTACACGTTTTTGGAGCAACATCATCTCCTAGTTGTGCAAATTTTGCACTAAGAAAATGTGCTGAAGATCATGGACCACAATTCAGCCTACAAGCAGTGAATACAATCTTAAACAGTTTTTACGTTGATGACTGCCTGGTCTCAGCAGCTTCTGATGAGGAAGCAAAAGCTCTCTATCATGAACTCAGTGCACTATGCTTGAAAGGAGGCTTTGTAAAGGATAAGCAACAGTCGGGATGTATTGGTTACAATACCTGAAGCTTACAGAGCAAATGAAATAAAATATTTGGACTTAACCAACGACAAACTTCCAGTAGAAAGAGTTTTGGGTGTTCAATGGTGTGTTGAATCTGATGTTTTCAAGTTCAAAATCGTTTTGAAAGCTAGACCATTAACACGACGTGGAATTCTTTCTGCAGTAAGATCCGTTTACGACCCCGTTGGACTATTGGCACCTGTGATATTGATTGCCAAAAAGATCTTACAAAATTTGTGTTGAAGAAAGATTGGATGGGACGAAGCATTACCAGAAACAGTCATGCAGGAATGGACTGCTTGGCTGCAAGATCTCCAGAGGTTGGATGATTTTCAAGCTAATCGCTGTTTTAAACCAAACAGTTTTGGAACACTGAAGTCCGCTCAGCTACATCATTTTGCGGATGCATCCGAGGACGGCTATGGAACAGTAACATATTTACTTCTTAAATATTGGAACCAAACCCACAGTGTATTCATCATGGGAAAATCTCGTGTGGCTCCGCTGAAACACATTACAATTCCACGAATGGAACTGACTGCTGCTACTGTAGCAAGCAGAACGGATGTGATGTGGAAAAGGAGCTCCAAAAGGAACTGACGGATTCAGTATTTTGGACTGATAGCATCTCAGTGCTAAAATACATAAACAATAAAACAACACGATTCCGCACCTTTGTTGCCAACAGAGTTTCCGAAATCACCAGGGTTTCAAATGCTCAACAATGGAGACACATCAAAACAGAAAGCAACCCAGCAGATTTGGCTTCTTGAGGTATGACCGTTACATCATTACGAAAGAATAAAAGGACATGGTTGTCTGGACCTTCGTTTCTCCTGTTACCACAAGAGGTATGGCCTTATAACCCCGATGAAGTTGAAGAGATCTCATCACATGGTGCAGAAATAAAGACAACTGTGAACACTGTTCAAGCATCAAGAGAAATAGAACCCGTTTCTCGTTTCATTCAACGTTTCTCATCCTGGACTAATTTGAAACGAGCAGTAGCATGGATCCTAAGAGTTAAATAACTGCTTTTATACAACAGTAGAAGAAGAATGCAAACCAAGAACAGTTTTGAACAAAAACATGATGGACAAGCAAACAGTGAAGGGCTTATGCTCACAAACAACCTGACAGTTCAAGAACTGGACAATGCCGAAACCGCCATAATCTCCTTTTGTCAAAGGAAAGATTTTGGAGACAAAATTTCCTGTTCAACAAAAGAAAACAATGTTAAAGGAACCAGTCATATCCGCAAACTCAATCCAATTTTGAAAGAAGGTGTATTGAGAGTTGGCGGGCGACTACACAGAGCATCCATGCCAGATGAGATGAAACATCCTGTGATTCTGGCCAAAGACTCTCACATTGCAAATCTAATTCTACAACATATCCATAAAGAGGTGGGTCATGGAGGCCGCAATCATATGCTCGCCAAAGTGCGCCAAAAGTACTGGATTCCAGGCGTTACAGTACCAATCAGAAGAATTATAGCTAAATGTGTTGTGTGTTGACGCATACATGCTTCACCAGGACACCAGCAGATGGCAGATTTACCCTTACATAGGGTAACACCTGATAAACCACCTTTCACCTATGTTGGGGTTGACTATTTCGGACCTTTTCCAGTAAAGCGGGGACGAACCGTTGTAAAGTGTGTGATATTCACATGTTTGGCATCAAGAGCTATTCCCATAGAGATGGCATCATCACTGGATACAGATTCATTTATCAATGCCCTTCGCCGCTTTATCGCCAGACGAGGTCAAGTGAAAGAACTAAGATCTGACAACGGCACCAATTATGTTGGAGCCTATCGTGAGCTAAAGGAAATGATACAAGGATGGAATCAAAGTTGTATACACAATACGCTTCTCCAAAAGAACATAAAATGGACTTTTCATCCACCAACTGGTTCTCATCATGGCGGCGTATGGGAGAGACTCATACAATCTGTGAGAAGAGTTCTCAACTCCGTCTTAAACTTACAAAATCTTGATGAAGAGAGTTTCAGGACAGTTCTCTGTGAAGCAGAAGCTGTTTTAAACGATCGAACCATTACAAAGGCTTCTACGGATCCAAATGACCTTGAAGCATTGACCCCTAACCATCTGCTACTTCTGAAAATGATACCATCACTTCCACCAGGATGCTTTCACAAGGAAGACCTGTATTTACGTCAAAGATGGAAACAAGTCCAATATATGGCAGATCTATTCTGGAAGCGATGGATCAAAGAGTATCTGCCACAACTACAACAAAGACAGAAGTGGTTCCAGTAGCGGTTTTAGGCACGGGCAGACAGGGCAGTTGCCCGGGGCGGCATTTTTTCATGACACAAAAGGGGTGTACAAGCGCTGAGTAAAAAATAAAAAAGAAAGAAATCTGTGCCGCACCAAGGTTTTCTATTCTATCTGTCATATCACAGTGTCTGGATTGGAAACAGCAAGTTGGCGCCCTCTGCAGCTGCAGGTGCTCCTGCTGACTGAGAGGGTTCAGGTGCACCGTGCGCATATGAAGAACAGGAAGGGGAGGGGTGCGGCGGGGGAATTCACCTCTGGGTCTTTCCCAAATGAAATGAGCGGGTAGGGGCTGAATCAACTGTATTAACATGGCTAAAGTCAATCACATCTTGATGTTCTTCCATTTTGCACACATTTCATTCATAACATCATAAACACAGGCCTATCATTCTTTCAGGTTTTTCTGAATTGTGTGAAATGGCTGAATAAAAAAAGGAAAAACAAAACGATTTTGTGGTCACCCACCCATCAAGGTCAAATTGTTTAGTCCTGACTAAAGGAAACTCATTGAGTCAAGAGCCAAACAGAAGAGATGAACATAAAAAGGCTAAAACCACCAGGTGCCCGATTCAGGAAAAAAAAAGAGAAAAATAAAGGTATGTACACTCTCATGATGCATGTTTTCAATTTTTTGAACCAGTTAACTGGGATTTTAATGGTTAAATTTGGTACACTAATTGCTAACAGAGCTAACAGGGCTGAAATATTGAAACAAATATTCAAACGGTTTGAAAAAATTCCTTGAATCATTTTTTACTGATTCCAACTAGGATTTGTTAAATGCTCGCTGCAGCCTGTGGCCTGCCTGGACAACAACAAACACATGTTGATCATGTTCACATAATAATAAAACAACTCTACAAGCAGAAGAAAACTCCCCAGTCACCACTAACTATCCTGTTTATTTATTGCAGATGACTGCACTGATTCTTTTTTACATGATTTGTTCTGTAAAAGTTGGCATTTTTGGTAGTCTACAGTTTTTTATGTCAGTTTAAATAACAATTTCAGAGGCAAATCTAAAATATTATGGGTCATGATAAAGATCTATTGGAGTTCTACCCCAACTTTTGGACTGCTCTGCCAGTCACTGTGGCTCCAGCTGAGAGGAGCTTTTCAAAACTTGATCAAGACATACCTGAGGTCAACTATGTTTCAGGAGCGGCTCACTAACCTGGCTCTGATTAGTATCAATCACTCAGTAGGGGAGCAGATTTCATATGATGACATCATTGATGA